GACTTCACAAATTCTGCACTAGATCTCCCTTTTCAAGAGACGCAAAGCGAATATACAAGAAAACATACTACTCGCATGCCTCCCCATCAGTAGTACCACCGTTACACTAGTAGTGGACCATTGGCGAATTCCAATTAGCCTAGTTCTACCAGTTACAGACGTCGTAGTGGTCATTTAACGATCGAATCGGCTTGTAATTACACGTTGATGGTGTGAACTTTACGAAGGCAACATCAGTTATCACCTGTTTCTTGTAAGCATATTTTATTGAGCTACAACTTTAATCAGTCGAACTTATTGCAATTTCCAAGCTTGAGCCGGCTGAACTGATTGTAGATCAGTTGGTTGTTGATCTGTTCACCGAGCTTGCCAAGTTTCTTGAAGGCGCTTGCTAAACTCGGCAAAGAGACCAACAACCGCTTGATCTACGATCAGTTAACTCACCGGAGCTACCAATTTTCGATATATTGTCGCTGGCCTAACCTCATTTAGCAGTTATGATGAGATCGAGATCTTCACATGCTCACATTCTTGGAAAGAAGGATAAGAATGACGTCATTGTGAAGTGAGATTCGTGTTTAAAACGTCCTATTCATATTTTGGCTGCAAAACGAAAGGTTTTCACGCAGTTTTTCATGTTTATGACATCGTTTGGGATGGTGGACGTGGTTAGTTCATACTTTTCCTGGATGATTGTCAGCCTGGTATCCGTTCGTCAAACTAACTTGTCGCATTGGGCTTCACTTTTGTGTGTAAAATAGTTCGTTGAATAAGATAACCTGTTTGTTTAGGTGACCTCTAAAATGAGGAGGTACGTTGGCGTTGCTCATGGGTAGCCAAAGATGCCAGGAACTAAACAACTGTGGACACAATCAGTACACTTCTGCTGATTATGAATAGCACTCATACCTCGTCCATCTCATCACCGAGCAGGCACGTAGCTAGAACAAGCATCTATTTATACGCCTTCTGGAGAACGTTAGTTTCTGATTTAGTTGCCATATCTTCTTTTGAAGAGCTTGATGTGAACACATTGACTATGCTTATTACGTGTTTTCTATCCGTTGTTGCTCCACTTCTCCCCGTCACGAGCAGCGCACGCAACAACTAAACAAGACCTGGTCACACTGAAGAAGCAGGCAACACAGACTGCGCAGGAGTACGATCGTGTGGCTACCGAATGCCAAGAATTACAGGTAAGTGTTCGTTGGTGTGCTGCAACAAATCGGTTGGATTAACAGGCCCGTGTATTCAAACGAAAAGTTTTCGCAAACATATGTTCTAGGTATATTTTCATCAGGTATATCAAAAGTCATTCAGCTGTAGCACCCTTTCGGTGTATAACTGCCATGCAACCCAAGCACCAGGGCTGGGATACTGCCAGATTACCCAAGCCTAGACAGGAGAAGTCGAGAGGCAGATGTCGGGTTCGAACCACTAACCTTCCGGCTAGTAAATTCGCTCTGTAACCACTTAGACCACCTCGCCCCCATCAGGTTTACGCGCCGTCACCGCTCCTCATCGGTATAGAGATATCCGCGATTGTGGCAGATGAACCATGTACAAACTGCTCTTGAGCTTGTTGTCCCCAATTCGCTAACAGAATCCCTGGATCCCTACTCTCTTGCGGCCTGCAGACATTAGCAATAGGGTCGCCGTGGTTAAGATTTATATGGAACCATGACCGATGACGGCACTCCCACAGAAGTCAGCATCTGCCACCACAAGTTTTGTAGTAATACCTCGATATGGTTTCGTGCAATCTCCGCAAACGTTCTGTTCGATCTGGATTGGTTGCTGTGGCCCTCTGCTTCATTCTGGAAATCCGGGCATTTGGGCCTGCACATCTTCGCAAAACGTTGCTCACACACGTGGCTCATGTGCCGACCGGTTCCTATATGCTCAGGACCAGCTTTTGGGAAAGTCACCGTCAAATTCACAGCGCAAATCGAACTTAAGCTACGACAGTGAAACAATTCCTGAAGTTGGGAAGCGCTGGTGAACGTTCCTCGTTCCTGAACCCTTTGATGTGGTGCTCGTTAATGATGCTCCATGAACTCTTGCTGGCTAGCTGCTCGACCGGTCTCCAGGTGATCTCCGGACACAGCGGCGTTGGCGGCGCTCTTCGGTTCTCAAGCTTCCTTCTTTCCGGTAGACTCACTATTGATTTTCAAGCTTTTCTGTGGTTTCGGGACCGTTTGACACTAGATTCTACACTGAGCCCCGTACAGTTTAGAGTTTAGAAGTAGCGTCGGAAATGATCAATACTGTGTGCGTGTTAGTGTGTTCATACGCTTCGGCTGCCACGTTTGCCAGGTGTTAACGATATTACCCCTTAGTAGACCGCGCACACGACGCCATGTAGAAATATTTTCTTGTGAGGTACATGATTTTGGTGCCAGCTGTTTCGACTCATCTACAGTATATCGTACAAGAGTAGTGCATAGCTAACAAGGAATGAGTTCAGTGTCAAAACTCGTCAAGTGAGAAAAATCTGGTGAAACCTGTCCAGTAATTCAACTATTCATATCTCCGTGTCCTTCAAATGATCGAAGCCGTCGATACCTTCCACGTCACCCAAAATGTTTCAGTCACCTAGGATTTATTTGGTGGATACCCTGAAAGAAGAATATCTTACCTTGTGAAGTTATACACTCATTTGCGAACAGTGCGCCTCTATCTTGACACATAAATTTCGGTTTTCTCTACAAGACAAACTACCCAAGTTATTCCGTAACAGGTCTGTGATCTTGTTCTCCAACATGTCATATTCGTTTGCGAATTTGTCGTTCTACAACGCGATGGTTAATCTAATGGGGTGAGATGACCCAAGTGGTTAGAGCACGCACTTACTGACCGGAAGGTCCGTGGTTCGAACCCGACCTCTGCCTCTCGACTTCCCCTGTCTAGGCTTGGGAAACGTGGCAGTATCCCAGCCCTTGTGCAACCTTCGGGTGGCATGGCAGTTAGGCACCGGAAGGGTGTCACAGCTGAACGACTGGCTAATCTAAAGATTGGTTGAATATTGACAGGCAAGAAGTAACCTGGAATTTACCCCCAGTCGAAAAACCTTTTTCTCCCAAAGTTTCCACTGCCGTCCAACAAATAGTCAATTAATACCATGTAACTGGCGCATAAATATTCTGACATCACTTACGATAACATGATTGTCAATGTCTGAATTGAGGGTCCGATCCATAAGAGCAGAATTGAGCAGGAAGAACTCTCGAGCGGGATGTTGTCCTGCGCAGTTTGATGATGTCGACAATCAGCGAGCCGCAGTGATGGCGTTTCGACTCGGTTCAGCTAAGCTAATCGGGCTTTGAGCAGTTCACATTGGGGTTTATGGACCTTCTAGGGAAACGAAATTATGAACTTTCCTGAGAGGCCTCTCCTTATTAAGTGCCCAGTGGTGTTGGTTGCTATGTTACCCTTTGATACTGACCTCCATTCGGAGGGTCTCTCTTGGGGAAAGCACCGTACCATCACTTCACCGTTTCGGGAGACCGTCAGCAGTGCGGATCCCACCAGCCTCCAGAAAGAGTGGGACCCGTAGACATCCAGATAGGAAGTTGATTACTCTGTTATTTGGCATGAGAGGCTGCTAAGCATTACCACTCCCGCACTGGCAGACTAGCGCACCACCACTTTTCAATCACGCATCTCGTGTCATTTTATCCGGTCTTAGCCGATGGCCCCAGAGACTATTTCCCACGTAGAGGGCCCGTGCGACTTCCGGACTGCTGTCCTTTTTCAGAATGCATATATTGTCGCTGTGCACATGGAAGCCATTCATCCTTGGAGACGTAAAACGTATGCGCATACGAACACTGCAGCGCACGTTACCCCGTCACCATTGACTTCTAGCCCCTTGTCGTGCTTTTATTCTCTGACTTCCAGTGGCGTCCTCTCCCTCCAAGTTTCTTGCTTTTCTCTTTTCAGCGTCGCATTACGTTACTGTCAGAGCCATCCGCGGACAAGAAATCAGACTGAACGGAATCTTTCATTTTTCCAGCATTTTATCGTTAACTACTCTCGTGGGCTTTCACAAGCCATGCCTGTTTTCACTGTCATATGTTTGTTCCCGTCCTCATTCGTTCTGTTACCGCCTTCGGATTTCGACCGCTTTTCTGCTATCTGCCGCTCACTTCGTGTGATTATCCTAATGAACGTGTCCATTAATGTCTTGGCATCCGTTTTTCCCTGTGTGAGATTGCATCGAAAACTCCAAACGAAACGTGTGTCCCCTTATCTTACTTGGTTAGCTACGCACCCGCCATGTCATCGTACTCTACGGCTCTTCAGCTCGCGAAGTTATCTGGATTAATCGAGCTCCGCTGATAACAGTTCGTTGCTGATTCTATCAACCGTATAATGAACATTTCATCCACATCGACGCTATATTTTCTGGGCGTTCTTTGTCGCGTGGCATCTTAGTTGGGTGGTGTCTACGAATGAGTAATATTTTTGTGAAATACACTCATTTGCACCTCAGTCTAGTTTTAGTAGGAGATTTAGCTGAATCCCAATTGGACCTCTAGTTTATGATGTTCCTCAACTGGATATGTTATACAAGGGTATCCTCATGTTTCGGTTGGTGTGATATTCCAGGTATCTCCACGAAAAGGGCGAAACCGGTCATGGGCTGTCGAAATGTTGTGAATAGTGTCTCTTCAAGATACCTCAAATACAGTACGAAGCGGAACGTGAGGCGGCTTAAAACACAGTACGAAGCGGAACGTGAGGCGGCTTATGTGCGCCATGTTCAGTTGAAGAATGTCTTAAGCGAGAGATCTACCTGAGCGAACTGGTGTGCAAACGAGTGTACTTCGCGAATTTCATACAATTTGGGTTCAACTGGAACGTGAAGCTGATGGAAACTCGGGGCTGTGCCTACCTGATGGGTCCCGAGGAGGGTGAAACCCGTCGTGGACTGTCAAAAAGTTTCCAGCAACCTTATGAGTACTGGTCGCTTCGAAATAACCTCTTTCTTTTGGAAAACACGCGAATGTTATCCGATACGACGCACTGAGGTAAGCAGTCTGTGTAAACAGTCATAGTGAGCTGGCGACCATTTCCGAATCGGCCTGTCGTTTCGAACTTTGCTGTTTAACACCCGCGTACAATAGGTGATTACGCGTTCGGTTTTCCATGAGCCACAAGGGCAGCCACCTGAACGCTCTCTTGGTGTGAACCTGAGAGAGTGAGACCGGAAAGGAAAGAGCGTGTTAACGTTGTAAAACTGATTGGGTTCATACGTGTGTTCACATATCGTCTCGAGGATTATTAAATGTCGTCCCTTGTTTCAGAACCCGATGGTTTCGCTCGGCTCTCTTATAATCAAATCCAGACGTTGCATTGTTGCATCACCATTCACATGTACGTACCTCTGTTCGGGGGTGAGTATCAAGCGACAGTGTTTGCTAGACAGATTCAAATCAAGAGCCTACTTCTCCGTTCTCTCGCGCGGGTCAGACGACGGATAAGCCTCGGTAACCTGAGTGTTCGCTTAGGAAGTAACAGTAGACTGCTGGTTATCCCAGTGACACTCGTAGATGGGTAATCGTCTTTTTTGGTTACGGGCGTTTGCAAGCAGTTGGGGGATGTATTGTCGGTTGAAATGCTGAATTCTTCAGTAACAAACTTAGGGTTCAAGACAGCTCACTCGTTAGGACGTGAACTTACTACCCTAAAGGTTCGGGCGGATCCAGCATCTGCATTTCGACTGCTCCTGTCTAGACTGGCTGTATCTCAACATTCGTGCTTCCTTCGGCTGGTGTGGCGGCTAGGCACGAAACGGCTATCACAGCTGAACGAGTACTAACAGCGTTGGGCGCATCACGAAAAGCAAAACGAAACAATTTGTGCACATTTCGGCAGAAGATTTTAGGCTCCTTCACTCTCACCAGCTAAGCTGGAAGAGTAATTAGCGGCCGTGCGACAACTGCTTGACCAACGCATGCTGAAGATGCCTGAATCATCACGTCTGAGCAAGCGAACATGTTTGCTACCGATCGGTTCGATTTGTTTGTTCAGCGCTGAACGTGGTCGTTGCACGGAATTGCTACCTCAGGCTCATCCGGCGTCTGCTGACGTAGTAGTAACAAGGGTGCGGATCAGACGTCCGAGGTTCAAATTCCGGCACCGCCAAGGAACTGGGGTCCAGTGTCGATTACACCAGGTCGAGGTTTTAAGACGAGCGAGCTGTGAATCCAAGTTCTCCAAATCCCACGGGCACTTGCAACTAATCACATTCGCAAGTCGACGAAATGTACATGCCCTCATGATCGCTTGACTCAGGTGTAGTAGTCTGTTGATGCAAGGATGATTGAGCTACTAGTTCGCACCTGTCCGGCACAGTGGAAGAGAGCGACATCAATATCGCCTCATACAATGTGACCAAATGCAGGCGAGTACGAGTGCAACGTCCGGATTGAATGATTGGAAATGTTTGCAAAGTCCTAGGGTGTTGAAGATATAACGGAGTCACAGCAAAGCGTTCTATTGAAGAGGCAGTGTGATTCTTCTTGCATCCAGCACATTAGGAGGTTCCACCGGATGAATTTGGATTCAAGGTATGACAAGTTATTAAACGCGACTGTGGTCGCTATGTGATACGGTGCTCCGACTTTTTAAGGCCTTTTTTATTACCCTCTCACTTGCTGTTTACTTTTGTCATTCTCGACCCGGTGCCGCTGTAGCTTTCGTAGAGGTTCGCCATTTGATTTCGCCGTACATGCCTCCTGGTGTGTGTATGTGTACATTCGCGCTACACCTAGCACGTTTAAAAATATCGGCTGGTAAGCGGGATAGTCAAGTCACGATGACCTGAGTTGGATATATGTTCATTTTTGGGGTGACTGCTCCACCAATTGCAGATGACAATCGCTCACACCCAATTGGTCTCTGATACTATCGACGGCCAATCGATTAGTTTTCCAGACGTCGACGAAATATCTGTTTTGCCTTCGAAGTAATGCAATTGGCTTTTCGTGGTGTCCACCTCAAAATGTTTGTCGAAATCCTGTCCCTCTCAAGCGACACTTTTAGACGTTCTCGACTAAACTCAGTACAGCAGTCCTCATCTCTCGTGCACGGAAACTCATGCTCGGGTCTGTGAGCACTGGGAATTGTCTTTCTCGAACGTTATCGTGGAGCAAGTTCACCCTCACCAGGGAACAATCAATCGGGCTCATTCAAAGTTAGGAATATTCGTTTAAACAAATGGCCATGTATTTGAGTGGCAAGAGGTGGAAAAGTAACCTTTACTTGACCATTTGCACTGCAGACAGACCTGAACTGGATGCGTGTTTGTGATTTCATAGAAAACATATATTATCATCACCCTGACTGATTTCCACTCCTGCTTTCATCTTTCTCTACTCGCGTATGAGTTCCGCTCAAGTTATCATCTTACTGAGGATGTATGACAAAACATCAATGCCGTATATTACCAAAAAGCGGTGGAAATGATAGTGGAATCCAGTATGACTGGAATTACACAAAATGAAAACAAAAGTGTGGCTACCGTGAGTGGAACTCGAACCCCGGACCACTTTCTTCACACCACTGCGACCAATAGGAATACGACTTCATGCGACCGTTCTCTAGTCAGTCAACTAAGTCTTTCACTGTAACTTCAGCAGAATACGGTCCACAGTATCCAATCCGAGGGGCCCAATTACTGGGTGAATACTTCGTTTTAAACAGTCGTCGGGTTCGAGCAAACGAAAATCGACTGACTCCACTCGTCACCGAACCAATCAGACGATGAACCGGATGCATTCGCACATCTAAAGAAGGATGCGATGAGCAGCGCTGATTGTAACCTAATGAAAATCTAGGGTTTTTTCGTAAACTGAGACTTCATTGGATTGGATCAAATTATTTTCGGTCGATTTCTGGGTAGGCAAAATGCTTCATTTGGGAACACCGAAGGATATGAACCGTCCATGGTTTTTCATGCAAAGGTTTACAACAGCCTATTCTAGGATCGGGTTTTGTGATCCAAATGCTCAACAGTCTTGCGCGCATGTGGCTAAAGTGCCCTAGCAGATCCTGCATGCCGATACATCATGGCAACTTGATGGAATCAAATTAAAGCCGTATAGCAAAATACAATTGTAGTATAAAAACGCGAAGCAGTTGTAGACACCGGTGTTCAAACACCTTGCTTTATCGCGCTTTGGTTTTTACTCTTTTCCAATCACGCCACCTTATACCCTCCTTCTTGTTAAGGCCACACAAATAGTTAGGACAGCGTCACCCACGTGTTAGTACCAGCATGAAGTGATACCCAAACGTGGTTTCCTCGAAGCAAATTAATAAATACATTGTACTCTGCTGGAAACTGTTCTTGTCTTTGGTCGTGGTGATTCCATTTTTTCTATCAGATTGAATGCCTGTGTCGAATTCAGCGCGCGCTTATAATCAAGCAGTGTTTGTACCATACTCATTAGTGTAGTGATTTGAATAGAAGTTTTTGTTCGACGGAATTTTGGTGCTAATCTTTTTAGTCATCCTCCATTAGTCAAAATTACTGAGACGAGAGGACGTGTGCCAAACGATGCCAATATTGAAACAGCCAACATTCTACGCAGCATTCTGATGAACTGATTTGGTGTTTGGAATCGTGGGTTGTATTGAATGCTAAGGGCGGCTACATTTGCATGTTCCTTTTTTCAAGGTATTATCGATCCTGTTCACGAGCCAGCATTTATCTACCATGTGAACAAGACGAACGAAGGTTGAAAAAAACAGGTGAATGAAACTTCTTCAGTCATGGCACAACCAACGCGTCCAAATACCAACTTAGATCGTGAGAATAGTTCATAGAGGACTGAAAGCTTAAATGTTAGCGCCCGCTGGCACGCACATCTGTCCCACCTTGGGAACGAGAAGCTTGACGCGCAGAGGAAGTAAGAAAGCTCAGAGTATTTGTCCAACAGAATCCTTGGCCTGGTGGGGAAATGGGATTGGCAAGGTTGATGTATGCCAGGGTTTGGGAAAAAGGAACTCTCCCACGATTATTGAGTTTCCAGTCGAATATTAGTGGATTATTTCTAAGACTTTTTAAGTTAGAGACTAGGGCTACTCTATAGGTTGGGCTCGTCGAGAATCATCGTTTAGAGGGTCCCCCAGTCTAGCCGTGAACACAATGTGGGAGCGGAAATCGCGTCATCCTTGTGACTAAGTCGGATAGGTTTTGGGGTCATTAGGCGAGCGTCGGGACAAAGTTCATCGGACTTACATGGTTGAATCGGTTCGTTCACTGTCGGGTGTCACGGTGCTGCGTTTTACCCATTTGACCGCGCTTCTCAATCAAAGGCGGTGAGCATATCCCTGTAAGTCATGATGCTCTCCACTGAAAATCCTCGTTGGTTGTGGACGTGAGTAATCCGACTGTCAAGTTGTCTTCCTCTAGTGTTTATTTCGCCTTTGATCGGATGCGTTTTTGATTGTGTGAGGTAAAAATTCCACTTATTTTGTT